GAATGCTTTCATAATTTTGTATTTTATGTCGAAACACCTTAAAAAAAAAAATTGGTGTACTAGTAGTTTTGTTAGGGCCGTGAAGCAAATCTAAACTACTCACAATTGGGTCAAGATGGGTCGATAAAAAGATCGTTTGATATGAATTTGTATAATGAACGAGCCAAACTTGGTCAGAACATTTTTAAGCTCTTCAATCTTTTTAAGTTCGGTTCCATAAGCTAATTATATATCATCAAAAGATAACTTGAAGGTCGATTAAAATTTATATTTTTTTACTTATTAAAATTTATACAAATTAAAATTCAATTTAAACCGATTAAAATTTAATCAACTCGCATTGAATTTTAATTAACTCGAATTTGATACAAAAAAAATATAAATTTTAATACGTAAAAAATAAATTTTAATCAATTTGAATTAAATATTAATAAGTAAAAAAATATAAATTTTAATCGATTCAAATCGAATTTTGATGAGCGCTAACAACTCAAGTTGAGCTCAAATCGATTCGAATTTTAATACGTAAAAAAAATAATTTTAATATATAAAAAATAAATTTAATTAGCTTGAATCGAATTTTAATATGTAAAAAAATAAATTTTAATCAGCTTGAATTTTAATATGCAAAAAAATAAATTTTAATCTGCTACAATTTTAATTGAATTTTATTTAGAAAATTTATTTGGGGTTTATGTAGGGGCAATTTTTGTATTTTAGATGAATTTTTTTGGTTAGAAATAGTGGTTTAATGACAAGTGGTGTTAGTGATGTTTAAATATAAACTAGAAGACGTGTCAGTGATGTTTTAAAGGAAGTGTTCTTAAAGATATGATAAATTAGAAAGGTTGGAACTAAAATTTTTCTAAAAAAGATGATAAAAGTGGGGAGGGAGAAACCGGTGGATAAATGTGGAGAGAGAAACTAAAAACGAAAAAGAGGAATGTTGACAAAAACTAAATGATTAGAGTCAACAAATAAATAAAGAGAGAGAACGTTCTCCCTTATTGATTCCTTTTTTGTCTCGAGTGTGGATGATGATGTTCATTCTATGTGTACATGATTTTTGTGCTCATGTTCCCCTTCTGTGAGAGTTTTGTCAGCAAATTTCAATGGAGAGTTATAGCACTGATAGACTTTGCACAAAGAGTCATTCCGTGCAATCACATTGTTGTAATTTTTGCCAGTTTCATAAGCACTAGGACAGTCGCACCATCGACAAATTCAATCGCCATAATTTCTACCAGAGTCATAGCAGCGGCAAAATTAAATCAACGCAATTTCTGCCAGTTCCAAAAGTAGCAAGACAATCGTAACACCCACAAATTGAACCGCTGCAGTTTCTACAAGTTCCAATTGGACAATCATAGCACCGGTCCAAAGAAGCCACAACTTGTGTAAATAATTTCATTGTTCAATTCAAGATTGACACTTCTATACGATCTGCATCAAGAACTTAGATCATGAAAGGAATTATCATCAAATTGCAAAGGCCTGACTCGAGTTAAATCTTGCATGAATATTGTTAGATCCTACTCTGATTACATTTGATCTTCTTAGACTAAAATTTCTACCAACAGGACAAAACTATGATGGACTACGGATGCAACTGGGGAGACATGTTAACTCGAATCCAACTCAATCTAAACTGAAGTATATTTTTTACATAAACAAAGAATTTTAGTATTTGAGGTAAACTTTAGTAAAAAAAGATTTTAACTCAGACTCAAATTCGAACTGTACTCGGCTTCGAGTCTCAAGTTTTAAGAATTCAATCGAAACAAACTAGAGTTGGTGAATTTGGATTCACACAAATTGAACCTAATTGCCACCCTAAATTTTGTAGGCGTAGAAATAAACATTAATTTCAACCCAAATTAAACCGCGAAATAAGACAAAGGAAAGGGAAGGGACTTATCATACCATTGTTATTTTCTTGCTAGATAAATTTATTGTTTTCAATTTTATCACTTGATAAATATTTTGATCCCAAAAAATGTGGATCAATCGTTATTTCATGCATTTCATTGATCGAAGGTTCAAATGTTAGTACTTAGTTGACTGTATTACATTGGTTTTGATGAAGAGTTTGGGTAGTGGAGTGTAGATCTATATGTTGAAGCAGACTTCTAGTGAATTTGTTTATTTTGAGATTGTTTATGCATTAAACTAATGTTATTTAGATTTAATTTACTAATCTACTTTATTTATTTGATTATTTAAAATAATTGGATCGACCGTTTGTCTCAATATTTTTTAGAACTCGCTATTATTTTCATGACCGTAATTAATTGAGTTAGCCAAACAAGTTACCAAATTAGGTTTAAACATTATTATTGTTATGCATTATCGGGTTGCGCGGTTGGTGAGCCGATGTGTGTGATTCAATTCTTATAAAATTTTAACATGGTTATAAATGTAAGAGTCAATTGTGTCGGGTGAAGTAGATTATAGGATCGTGTCAAAAAAATACTTTATTTGTACTTGATTCGTTTATTAATTTATATTTAACAAGTCATGTCATATTTGGTTTGTGTTCTATATCAATTATGTATAACCGGTATATAAACGAGTCGTATCGTGTATTTCTTTTAATTGATTTCATCTATACTCGATTCTTTTATAAATCGTGTAATGTCGGGTCTATTCGTTTACAAAATGAGTAATTTAAAAAAGATTCAAACCCTCTAATTTCGTATCGTATTAACGAGTCAGGCGATATTTTGACACTTGTAGTTATAAAGACAGGCCATTGATTTTCCTTTGAAATAGTTTTTGGATTCCACCCATTGCTCAGAATTCTCTTCTTTATAACATTTGGACCAGACCTGGTCATTGGGCTAAGTTGGCTTAGGTTAGTCCTGGGAAATCCAAAGTTGGCTTTTGCCACATCTATGTTTCTTCTTTTGGTCAAACATATAAACATCTATGAAGGAAATTTAGGAGGGAAATATTTCCATTATTCAACAAACTATGGACTGGCAGTCTTAACTTCTTGACATCCTGTACACATCACCCTCTTTGTTTAATAAAAGTCATAATGAAAGTTCAGAATAATTGACTATAATACTCTTGATCGTTGAATAAAAAAAAAATTAGAACAACTTTATAACATTCAAAACCTATTATTTTTAGGGGTAATTTGGAGATCGATCTCTTTTTGTAGACCTATTTGGACCTAAGTCCAATCAAAAAATTGGTCTGAAAAAAAGTCAATTTTTATCTTCATTGTCCAAAATATCCTCAATAGTTAGATTTAATTAAAACAAATTTAAAAACTAACAGCTCTTAAATTTTTGAAATTTTATTAGTATTAAAATTCTTTCTCTATCATATATCTATATAATAAAGTAACTTACAATTTAAATCTCAAAAGATAAGCAAAATGATTTTTGTTATTTGCGGTTGAGATCGTTTTAAATTTTACTTTAAAGTTAATCTAACGGCTAATATTAACACTCCAAATTTAATAATAAAAATAGGTCCCTAAAGGTGTGTTTGGAATAATTTTTTAAAAGTATTTTCAGGAATTATTTCTCATAAGTATTTTTTTTTTTTAAAAAAATAGTGTTTGAAACCATCTCACCACTACCTCTACCACCATTATCGCCACTACTATCGCCGTCGTCGCCGCCGCCGCCACCTCCACCGCCACCACCGTCATCGCCACCCCCGCCACCGTCACCATTACCATCGCTGTCACCACCACCGCCATCGCTGCCACCACCACCACTGTCGTCGCCACCATCACCACCGTCTTCACCGTCATCGCTGCTATCACCGCCATCGCTGCCATCACGACCACCGTCATCACTATTATTGTCACCCACCACAACTATCACCATCTCCTACCACCATCACTGTCACCCACCACCTCTCACCCCCACTACAACCGATGCTTAAATTTATTTACATCTCTTCTATGTTTGTGATTTAATTTTATATATGAATACAAATATGTTTATTATGTACTATTTTTTATTACTCTGTGCCTTCAGGCACAGATAATAACTAGTATAAAATAAAGTAGCTTACAATTCAAATTTCAAAAGATAAACAAAATGACTTTTGTTATTCGCGGTTGATATTGCTTTAAATTTTATTTTAAAGTTAATCTAACGACTAATATTAACACCATAAATTTAATTGAAAAAATATTTTAACAGTGTGTTTAAAGTGACTTTTTAAAGGTATTTATAGAAATTATTTCTCATAAATATTTTTTAAAAAATAGTGTTTGAAACCGTCCCACAACTACATTTACCACCACTGCCACCGCTGCCACAACCATCACCTCCATCACAACCACCACCCCCGCTATCGTTGTCACCCCCCCACCACCACTACTGCCACCGCCACCACCTTCGTCACCATCACCACCGTCGCCGTCGTCGCCGCCACCAGTATTGTCACCGCCGCTACCATGGTCATTGTTATTCACCACAATCATCACCGTCTCCTACCACCACCACCACTGTCTTCCACCACCTCTCATTCCCACTATAAAATCGATGCTTAAATTCATTTATCTCTTCTTTATATTTGTAATTTGATTTTAAATATGAATACAAATATATTTATTGTTTATTATTTTTTATTATTATATGCCTTCAGGCGCAAGAAATAACTTGTCTATCTATAAATTAGGACTATTTTGTTTCTCTCTCTCACACACACACACATATATATGTGAGATAAAAGAGTAACATTTAAAAAAAAAATAGTAACAATAAATAGTAAAATGTTTAACAAAAAAAATTAGTTATATAAAAAATTATATTATAAAAAAAATAGTAATATGAAAAAAATAAAAATAATATGCACAATAAAAAAACAGTAACATGACAAAAAATAAATGTAACGGTGGATGTAGTCATAACCACAAGTCCATCATTTTCTTTCCTCGACAAATTTCTATCAGGAATTCCCAAAGAGCTTTAAATCTATTCCCTCTAGCCAACAAACACGCCATCTCTAAGCATGTCGATCCAAAATGTGTCTCAACCCAACAGTAGAACTCCAATGCGCTGTCCAATCCCAGCTTTACCTATACGCAGCTGGACCAAGAACAAGCACACCTTTGCGAGCTGTACTGTGTTCTTCTCCGATGTTTCTCTCCTTGAGAGGAGTAGAACGAAGAGGAGAGAAAAATAGTTCAATTGAGTTATTTTAATTTTAATTTAAAGTTTATAAAAAAAAATTATGGAAAAATTTCACTCACACCCCTTCTAATTTACTAAATATCCCCTTTATTATCAAATACATTATTGACACTCTTTTTAGTTTATATTTAAACGGTACTAACACTCTCTATTATTAAACCACCAATTCTAACAATTTTTTTTTTTTTATCTAAAATACCCCTACATAAAAATCAAATAATCTTTCAGCATAAATTCGATTAAAATTCAAGTCGATTAAAATTTATTTTTTTACATATTAAAATTCAAATTGATTAAAATTCGACTCGAACTAATTCAATTTTAATTTTTTACGTATTAAAATTCGAGGCAATTTGAGTTCTACTTGAGATGTTAGCACCGATTAAAATTCGCTTTGAATCAATTAAAATTCATGCTAATTAAAATTCAATTCAACTTGGTTAAAATTTATTTTTTACATATTAAAATTTGAGTCGATTAAAATTTGTATTTTTTTATGTATCAAAATTCAGGTCTATTAAAATTTAATGCAAGTTGATTAAAATTTGATTTGAGCCGATTAAAAATGATAAAAATATTTTTTAATCTACTCGAATAAAATTTAATTGGCTCAAATTTTAATACTTAAAAAAAATATAATTTTTAATCGACTCGAATTTTAATACGTAAAAAATAAATTTTAATTAGCTAGAATCGAATTTTAACCGTTCCAAATTTTAATAAGTAAAAAAATTTTAAAAACAAAAGGGCCTCATTCAAGATACTTATCTAGATGGGATGTTGATAAAGTTTTTCCTCAAATATATTTTGAGCAATTTAATAAAATTGCATTATAGTTAATACATTTAATCTGACAGAGGGTATCAATGAAGATTCAAAAAATAGATGGAGTGTTTCTGAAGGCATATCTTTATTAATGACACTAAATTAAGGGTAATGAAATTAAATTAACGTTTCTTTTAAAGAATAGTATTTTGGCGGTATTAAAAAATTATAGACTTAATTACTTACAAAAAGATTAAAATATAATTTATTCTCAAATAAATTTAAATGATAGACTTAACTTTTTAAAAGTCTCTTAAAGATAATTTAGTCTCAATTTTCACTTATCCACTAGATTCGCGACACTAATTTTTAATCCTATGAAAAAAAATTGCCATTGAGGCCCAAATGAAAACTCTCACTAACCAGATCATTGGGCTACATTCATGGAGTTGGTTAAACGAGTGGTTGTGCTTGGTTAGGCGAGGCCCGATCAACAACTATAATACAAAAATAAATAAGTGGTTTTATTTGATTGAGTTGTTTCTAAAATTTTAATAAAGCCTATATATCTATCAAATGTTTTTATTTCTTTAGACTCGTGACTGCTATCCACACAAATCTAAATATATTTTTTTCAATAAGTACGAAATCTAAAAATTGCTGGTGCTAAAATCCTTGCCCATGTACCAGTAAAAAAAAATTTGCCCCAAGGGTGGCAGTCCAGGCCCAACGCTGAGGTCCATAGCCCATTTTAACATAGTTTTCCACTTGATTATTTGCCTTGGTAATATCTGAAATACATATGGGGCTCGGGATGCCGGTCTTTTTTGTAGACTTATTTGGTCTTAAGTACACTCAAAAAATTTATTTAGAGATAAATCTATTTTGATCTTTATTGTTCAAAATATCTTCAATAATTATATTTAGTCAAAACTTGTTTGGGAATTATATTAGTATTAATAACTCAAATCTTGAAAATTGTGTTAACATTAAAATTATGTTTCTATCAACATATATATATATATATATACACACACATAAAATAATGTTACAAAACTCAAATAAAATCTAAAAAATTATAATTTAAATGCATATTAACTCTTGGATAAATAGGTCCCATCAATATTTCAGTGGAATCGACTCTTCCCACACTCATTCAAGATTATATGCATTTGAATTTAATTTTTAGGTTTTATTTGGATTATATAACGTTTTTTATATATATTAAATAGTAACAATCTAAACAAAAAAAATTAATAAATAATTGTTGAAAAGTATTCTTCTACTCTTCCCCTATGGCGTGGGTTGAACTCGCACTCTGTCTGTAGAGCTCCTCTACTCCTCCCCTATGGTGTGGTTTCCTGTTCTCGAAGGTACCCATTCTTCAGCCCTCTCACTGGTGATTATCCGATGATATGGATTCATAGAACCTCAACTCCAGTCCTTCGACGTTATCTCATGTTCTCCATCCCATTTCCCTCTTATTCCTTTCATGGGTCAAGGTTGGTTTGTCGTTATTGAGCTTGCCTTCAACGCAAACTTGCTGAGTACCTTTAGTTGTTAACCCATCTTCTCCAACCCAGTACTTTGCTGAGTACCCTAGTTTTCTTTCTTGGTCCTAAATCTAAGTTTATTAGGGATGCTAGGACAAACAAACGAGGTATTGCCTCCGCTTGATATAAACCTAACCCATACTGCAACAACGAAGCAGTTAACCCATCAAAGAACCCCCAATTATCCAGCTACAGTCCGATGAAAATACAGCTGGTTTTGTGAGAAACTCCTGTCTTATTGGTAAATTCCTTACCCAAAAATCCCCAAACCGAAATGTGGTGAAATCGATTTTGACCAGAGTTTGGAAGGTAGAGAGACTTCTGGAGATTAAGGATGGAAATTTGGATACATATATCTTTATATTCGAAGATGAAGGGCTTAGGCAAAAAGTGTTGAAACAGAGACCATGGTCAGTGAAAGGGCAAATCATAGTGATAAAACAGTGGGATCCGAAAACACTAATTTCTGAGATTGATTTTAGTTCATCCCCTTTCTGGGTTCAAGCCCATGGCCTTCCACCAGAAATGGTTACAGAGGAGAATGCTATTAGAGTGGCCCAGGTGATTGGTAAGCTTTCTGAGGAACAGAGTACGTTGACTCAGAGGTCCATTTGGAAAAGTTATCTCAGAACTAGAGTAGTGGTTGATCTTAAAAAGCCTCTCATACCTTTCTTTTGGTTACCTCGGAGGAATTCTCCAAACATGAAGATTGAGCTGAGGTACGAGAGGTTGAGTGACTTTTGTTATAAGTGTGGAATTGTAGGACATGATAAATATGAATGTAAAAATCCTCCCCCTGATGATAGTTTGGTAAGGTATGGGCCTCATCTGAGAGCTCAACAAAGTGTATTGACAGAAAGGTACCAGTCATCGGAGAAGAATCAAGAAGAGGTCCTACCGGCGCGTGACGTACTCAACCACTCTAGGGCGTGGAGGGTGGTGAGGGTCGTAGACAACCATGAGCAGACCTCGGACCAGGTAACGGCAGAAGAATGTGAGCACTCATCTGACACCAATGAGGCGGTTAGGACAGGTGGAGTGATTGCACTGAAGGATGTGGGTGCAGCAAATCAGTATGGAAAGGTATCGTCTACCCCTTTCTGATGGCCATAATCATAGTGCTTCTTTCTCTAGCACTGGATTAGACGATGTTAACCCTAAGGAAACAGCTGTGATCCCCCATTTACAAGATTATCCTGCAGAGAATGAATTTCCACAAACACCCTTTATCTCTTCCTTGACCCATCTGGTCACAAATTCAAGCCCAAACCTGGATACTCAACCTATGTTGTGTGCTAGCCCAAAAAGCCCATCAAAACCACATAACCAATCATTTGCAATTGAAAACCCAGTAAGCCCACCCACCAAAACCCGACCACTGTTAATTGGTTACTCAGAAAGCCCACCCACCAAAACCCATTTACCTTTAAATTGGCAACCCAGAAAGCCCATCACCCAGTAGTATACATGCTACTATATCTCAATCTATAGCTCAAGGGGAGCCTTGCAAGCAAGAGGAAAATACAAGGAATTCAGAGCGAGAGGCTTTGGCTGGTTTTTGAACACTATACACTCCATTCCGACTTCCCAACCAGAGTTGACAGTTGACCACTGTATGGCACATGTTTTCCATAAGCTGTCTCTCAAATGTCACCTCCCAGAACATTGGCCTAGGAATAAAAATTTGCAAGGTGCAGAGAAGAGAAGATGGATTCCATGTAGTACGGGAAGCTGTTGATAGTATAAGAGGGCAGGAAGAAAGTGTAAGTATTACTGTGCAAGATGAAAATGTAAGGGTGATGCAGAATGATGTAGAGATAAAAGGGGACAGGAAGGAACATGAGTCCCCAGCAGGAAGAAAATCTGTGCACAAATTCAGAGGAATAAAGTCTACAAAGAGTGGGAGGAGCACATGAAGGAACCAACTTCATGATGTGTGTGTGGAATGGAATGCAGAAATCTCTGAAATGGCCGAGGAGGCTGGCCTCAACATGCCCCCAACTCTGCCATGAGGCTAATTGCTTGGAACTGTCAAGGGTTAGGGGCTACCTGACAGTTCAGGCAATAAGGGACCTTTGTGTCCAGTATAGTCCCAAGTGGTATGCCTATGTGAAAAAAAAATCAAAGCAGAAAGAGTTGAGAGAATTAGAAGAGAGTTGGGGTTTTCCAAAAAAGTTGTTGTGGATCCAGTTGGGCTATCAAGAGGATTATGTATCCTATGGAATGAAAGTGGTATATTGGAAGTTGAAGAAATTAATAAGAACTATATTCATGCTACAGTGAATGCAGGACTTTCTGAAGGTTCTTGGCATCTTACCTTTGTGTATGGTGATCCAAACTATGATAATAGAGTCCAGCAATGGGACTACCTATCTGCATATGGGAGAAGCATTGAAATCCCTTGGTTGTGTATTGGTGACTTTAATGATATAGTATCTAGAGGGGAGGAGGAAGGCATCAGAGATAGAGCGGAAAGAAAGATGAGAAGTTTTAGGGGTTTTATAGACAATAGTTATCTGATGGACCTTGAAACAAAAGGTTGCAGATTTAACTGAGACAACCATAGGCAGGGATCTGCCAAAGTTAAAGAGAGATTGGATAGGGCTTTGGCTTCTGCAAGTTGGAGGATGGCTTTCCCTAATGCAGTGGTGTTGGCAACTCCTGCTATTGGATCTGATCATTCACCCTTAATGTTGGATACTGAACCAAAGACGAAGAGAGTTAAGAAGCCTTTTCAGTTTGAGGCTTTTTGGGCGGACGAGGACCAGTGTGCTGATGTTGTTAGAAAGGGTTAGGAGCAAGCTGTGCATGGTTCCAGAATGTATCGGCTCAAGCAAAGAATTAAAAATTGTGAAGGGAATTAAAAGGATGGAGTGCAGCCGATTTTAAGAATAGTAGGAAACGGATTGAAGCTTTAAAGGCCCAGTTAGTTAACATTCAGAACAGCTCAGGGAGTGAATATTCTCAAATAGAAATGGTTAACATTAAAGCAGAGATTGAAAAGCTATGGCAGAGGGTGGAAAAGTATTGGGGACGAAGATCAAGGGCGAGTTTGGCTTAAGATGAGTGATAGGAATACTAAATTCTTCCATACCACTACTGTTCAGAGGAGGCAGAGAAATTAAATTATTATGATTAAGGGGCAGGAGGATCAATGGGAGACTGACACACAAAAAATTAGACAGATAATACAGGAGTACTATGAGAGACTATTTAAATCAGAGGGTCAAAGATGTTATGAGCAAATCCTGTCAGGAATTCCTCAAACTGTTACACAAGAGATGAATCAAGACTTGATGACGGCTCCAACAATGGAAGAAGTAAGAAGAGCTATGTTTAGCCTTGGAGCTTTAAGAGCCCCAGGACCTGATGGCCTACTAGGTATTTCTACCAAAAATATTGGTCTATTGTTCAAGGTGGAGTTTTTGACTCTATACAAGCATTCTTTCAATCTGGCTTTTTATTAAGAGAACTGAATGAAACTAATGTGGTTTTAATACCTAAAGTTGCTAATCCTGAATCAGTGGGGGAGTATAGGCCAATCAGTTGTTCGAATTTTATCTATAAGGTCATTGCTAAGATGCTAGAACTAAGGTTGAAACCTTTCATGAATCAACTGGTCTCTCAACATCAAAGTGCCTTTGTGGAAGGGAGGTTAATTCGAGACAATATTATTATTGCTCAAGAGGTGATGCACTCGATGAGACAAAGATTAGGGACCAGGAAATATCAAATGGCCTTGAAGCTTGATATGGCTAAAGCTTATGATCGTGTGGAATGGGATTTCTTGAAGGACCTCCTGCTGCAAATGGGGTTTGATCCTAGGTGGGTGGCCTTGATAATGTACTGTGTGACAACTGTTAGGTATAACATTGTGGTTAATGGGGAGAAATCCTCTCTGGTGAATCCCTCTAGGGGGATTAGACAAGGTGATTCTATCTCTCCTTATTTATTCATTTTGATAACTGAAAGCTTATCCAGCATAATGAGCAGAGAAATGCATAATGGAAGATTACAAGGTATTAAGGTTAGTAGGTCTGCTCCTAACATCTCTCATTTGTTTTTTGCTGATGACTCTATCTTTTTCTCTATAGCAAGCAAGAACCAATGCCAGATATTAATGGATGTCTTAAATAGATATTGCTATGCTTCAGGGCAATTGGTAAATCTGAATAAATCTGGGGTGGTTGTCAGTAGAAATACACCACTACTCATTCAACAGGAGCTGGCTAAGTACCTCAGGATTCCCTTAGTCCAATCAGCTGGGAAGTATCTTAGCCTGCCAACACAATGGGGGAGATCTAAGAAGTAGCCTCTTGGGTGGTTAAAAGAGGGAATTATGGCTAAAATAGCTGGGTGGAAGGAGAAGCTTCTGAACCATACTGGAAAGGAGGTACTTATTAAAGCAGTTATTCAAGCAATCCCATCATATGCAATGTCAATCTTTAAATTTCCTAAAGCCTTTTGCCAAGAGATAACGTCTAATGTCAAAAGATTCTGGTGGAGTAAGGCATCTGGTGAGAGAGGAATTCATTGGAAGAAATGGGAACACATCTCTAGAAGAAAGGATGAAGGGGGTTTGGGTTTTAGAAATCTAGAGCATTTTAATGCTGCAATGCTTGCTAAACAGGTATGGAGACTGATCCAGAGTCCAGATTCACTGTGGGCTAAGCTTCTCAAGGCAAAATACTTTCCTACAACTACCGTGTGGCAAGCTATGATTAAGCCAAATTGCTCTTGGGGGTGGAGAAGTCTTATGGAGGCTAGGGAGCTTGTTAGACTAGGGTCTATTTGGCAGGTTGGGGATGGGAGCCAAGTTAGGTGTTGGGAGGGTACATGGGTTCCAGGGTTGCAAAGAATTCAAAATCACCAGCAAAGCAATGTTCAAAGAGTGTATGATCTAATCATATGGCCTGATGAGAATTGGAATATGGAGCTGATTACTAAAGTTTTCCCCCTGAAGTTTCGAAGGAGATACTGGGAATTGCCCTGAGTGAAACACCACAGCAAGATAGAATTAGATGGAACCATACAAATTCAGGTGGATATTTAGTAAGGAATGGGTACCATCTTTTAATGCAAAGGTCCAAAACCACTCAGCGAGATTTGGGGCTTCATCATCCTATCAAGTACCTGAAAGTATGTGGAAGATCATTTGGAGAATTCAAGTACCTCCTAAAGTCCAATCCTTTATGTGGAGAATATTAAATGGGGCGTTATTTACTACGTGGGAGTTGTGGAAGAGGAGGCTCTCCAAAGATCCTACCTGCCCTATATGTGGAGAGGAGGATGAGACAATTGAGCATTTGTTTTTGCTTGCCCCTGGGTCAATTGGATGTGGAAGGCCTCTCCTCTTAATCTTAAAGTTGATAGTTATGAGTTGCGAAGGATGGAGGAATGGCTTTTGATCTAGTTTCAGTGTAAGGGGAATCAACCAATGATTGCATTTATGTGTTGGTTTATTTGGAAATCAAGAAATGAATGGTTTTATAACCATCATGTACCTCAGCATAACATGGTCATTCATAGAGCTCTTGTGGCTACCGAGGAGTTTCTACACAACAAAGATAAGCAATTACTCAAAGATAAGACGGTGGAGGTGGCTTCCCCCTGGCAATGTCCGCCTAAGGAATGGATGAAAATCAACTGTGATGGAGCATGGATGGAGAAGACAGAGCAAGCAGCATATGGGGTAGCTGTCAGAGATGATAAGGGCTCATTTATTACTAGGGATGCTCGGTCCTTCACGGCTAAATCTGCTCTTGTTGCTGAAGCATGTGCAGTAAGGAGAGCTTGCAGCTTGGCTTTGGAACATGGTTACCAACAAGTTATCATAGAGTCTGAGTCTAAGGCTCTTATGGACACGTTGAGTAAAGGTAATGAGGATGCTTTATGGGATATTGCTACAGTTGTGCATGATGTATGAGTTTATGCAAGACAGATACCCCAGGTTACCTTCTAGGTAGGAAGGAGGAGCCAAAATGTGCTTGCCCACACAATAGCATCATTAGCTAGAGGGGGCAGACTTCCTCTCAATTGGCTTATTGCTATCCCAGTATGTATAAGGACTGTAATTAGGAATGAGGAAAGAGATGGGGTAGGCTAAGTTGTTTGTGGTTTGTAGCTGGACCTTTTTTTCGTATTAATGAATGTTTGTTTTCTGATAAAAAAAAACAAAAAAAAAGTAACATCAAACAATAACATGTCTAATTAAAAATTTAATCATTGTAATAAAGTGACACCGTCACAACAGAATAAATACTCATATATGGTGTTACTTTATTACAATGATTAAATTTTTGATTAAGGATGTTACTGTTTAATATTACTATTTTTTTGTTGAGTGTTTTATTGTTTGATATTACTATTTTTTTATTGAGTGTGTTACTATTTGATGTTATTATTTTTTGTTGAGTGTGTTACTGTTTGATGTTACAATTTTTTTCTTGAGCGTGTTACTGTTTGATATTATAATTTTTTTCTTTAGCGTGTTATTAATTAATATTACTATATACATATGTGTGTGTGTGTATGTGTATATATATATATGAGATAGAAAAATAATTTTAATGCTAGCACAATTTTCAAGTTAGGAGTTGTTATATTTGAAAACATTGAAACTAATAATGATAGACAATATTTATGGTAAGGGTAATTATGGAATATATTTCAAAAAGAATTTGAAATGATTTAAAATGTGTACTTATTGACAACTATTTTATAAAAAATATGACTTAGTGGAGTATAAATTTGAAGGTGGTACTCAGAGCCAATTATCCCAATATTTGAAAATTGACGGGTTTGACCTAGACCAGACCCAGTTCAGAGGTCTAATTTAGAAATATTGACTAGACCCAAGTCACTGGTACAATCCAACTCAAACCAAAAATACAAGCCAACGAGGACCAAACCCATCGTTTTATAAAACTCATTTTAATAGTGACGCACGTGAGATCTTCATCTCAGAAAATGAATCAGCGTACATATCGCAAGTTTCAACCACCTCGTTTTTTATGCCAACATTACGGAACCACCCACTCTCATCACAAAGGTGACGCCTTAATCAGGATTCTCCGTGACGGCACCTCCTTCAAAACCCACTCTGGCCGCCATAAAAACTATACTCCCATATAAATTGTAAGCCTCAGTTACATATGAAGGGCATCACATACATCTCAGTACACTACACCACTCAAGTAATAAAAGTTTCTGACCACCATCGACATTCCGAGTAGAGTAGGTCATCTAAACCGAGCCACTTAATCTTTGTATTTACTTGTGTTGAACCATCTTTAATTTATCCTTCATTGATTTTGCATAAACACATTGTATTCTCTTTCTTTTCTTGTACTTTTGAATCTATAAACACTGAAAATTACATCAAACATATATATAGTTGTTTTTGGACTTTTAACATAGTAAATGTCAACAAATAATGAAACTCTTTAGCATGTTATTAGAAATTAAAATGATGTTTTTTTTGGTTCAACAATCATATTTATCCGAATTAGCTTACATGCATTTCAATTATTCCCCTATTCTATCCAATTAAAGACAGATCATCCATGTCAGGACTAGGATTTTCATGAGGAATTATCTCTCATGGCCTGACTCCAAAAAATTATCAAAATTCGAACTCAAGACGTCCAGTACGGCTTCATTATCACTTGAGATATCCCAAATTATAATGAATTTTGCATATCCATTTATATTGTTTCCAATGCATATTTTGATTTTTTTTTTCTTTTTTGCCCATAAATCAATTTAAATCACATGAATCGAATTGTTGCTTACCCAAAAAAAAAAGAATGAATCGAGTCATTTGAGTAAAACTTTTGAGCAATTTTGTCAATAACTCTTTTGATATCAACTGATATGATTAACCAGTCAAGGTCAGTGTTAAAACCAACGACTTGCTATACAAGGTCGACATGCAGCAACACAATGTGCACATTTGCCCTATGTGCTCAATTGATTTTCACGCTCTACCCCACATGCCCGAACAATGCCACGGCACTACAATTTGTCCCGCGACATTCACTCGGAAGGGTGAGAGAATTCAAGACATTCACTCCAGTCTGATACCTGTTAATTATTTTTTTTTCTCGGTTCAAGCTGAACATCATTAAATTTGAACAAGGTATTACTCCTTCAATTCATTACCAAACATATCCAATGCTACAATTACAAATGACACCATGACTAAAAATCTTAGTAGCTTTATGTTGTGTTGTTCTATGTTCATCAGCGTCGGTCTAATAATTACTGTTTTTATTTGTGAAATCTTTTTTTTATTTTATCAGTTATACCTTTTAAGATTGTGTTCTCTTTGCAATAGTGCCCGACAAAAAAATGGATAAAATTTATTTTATATTTTGAAATGTTTTAAATTTTTTATTTTACATCTTAAATAATTATTTTTTTATTAGACCCTCAATTTATTAAACGTGTTATAATATAATAATTGTTCAATTAATAACAAAATAAAAAACGAAAATTAACCGAATAACTACATTACATTCCATCATTTTTAATACATAGGAAGGATAAAATAAAAATCTTAAATCTAACCCAAACTCCCCTGCCCCTCCAAAAAAACAAAAAAAAAAACCATCTTTGCCCTAATCGTACTTCCCAAACCCTGAACGATCATTCAATCAAACACCAAAATTACCATATTTGCAAACACACCTCAAATTAATTTTTTTCCTTTCTTCTATCCCCAACAAATCACAAAATCGAACTCGTCTTCAATTCCCATTCTCTCTCTCCTCCATTTCTACCTTCCCCTCTCAGATTTTCACTTTCGTCAGGTCCAAACACAGAGAGAGAGAGAGAAGGACACAAACCTTTGTGTATATGATCATGCTTTGTAACTTCAATACTTCTCCCTGTCTCAAAACCTAAAGCTAGAAAGTCTCTGTTTTCTATTTTATTGCTTTTTTTGTTTCTCACTCCAAATGAACTTTCTCTCTCCTCTAATCCCCTTCAATGCAACCCCATGATCTCTCTCCTATGTAACTCCTCCGCAGAGAATCGTAACCCCGATCTCCTCACCATGTCCGACGACCACCCCTGCTCTCCGATCCATTCCAATTCCTCTTCCCCTGACAAGACGCACAACACCCAAAACAACGAAAACACTCACAATACCCAAAACACAAACACCCAAAGCACCGAAAACAAGAACACTCAAAACAACAGCAATAATGATAGTAACAATAATTTTGTGAGGAGAGAGAGGCCATCGAGGGCGTGTACGGCACGCTCTGCGGCGCGGTTATACGAGGCGGCAGCGGCGGAGGCAGCAGTGGCCACTGCCGAGCGGAAGCGGAAAGCTGCGGCGAGGAAAGAGCGGTTTCCGCCTCCGAAAGAAGAGGAGTCGCCACCGCCATCGCCGTCTGCCTCGCCACAATGCAGCAAAATCGTGACACAGCTGGTGGTGGAGCCAGAGCCGTCACAGTTGCCACGGTGGAGCCTCCGATCAATGTGGGAATTGGCTTCAATACTCAATTTTCTCAATGTGAGCTTCACAATTCACAATCATAGTTGTGGAAGTTGTGTTTTTAGTGGGGAGATAGTGGTTCTGGTGTGATTTTAGGGTTTCATCTGAGTTTTTGGTGTTTTGTTTGTTGTAGGTTTTTAGGCATCTTTTGAATATTAAAGTGGAGTTCTCGGCGGAGGAATTCGAGACGGCGCTGATCATGCCCAATGATACTTTGGGTGACATACATATACCATTGTTGAAGGTTGGTACTTTTTTGTTTTAGATGTGTAAATTGAGCTTGTGCAATTCTGGGAACTTTTGTTCTATTGGGTATGCATGATTAGTGTAGTTCTCAGTGAGGATTTAGAATGCTTTTGAGGTCTTGGGCACTGTGTTATGGTGTTCTTGAAATACTGTATTGTTTTTTGTGATTGAATGTCGTATACCTAGTTCTTTTGTGCAAATAAATTTACTTCTTGTGGCACTAACTTTTCTCCAGAATGCTAATTTGCAGTGTGCTCTAAATGAGCGCATATCCTACATTTATAGCTTTACATTGAAAACAATATGATTTTAAATTTATGCTATTTGTTTGGCAGCTAAACTACCCTGGAGAGAAATAATGTGCAAAAGTGAAACATCTATGTTTTTTGGTGCAAACTGTGATATTGGATGCAAAATTGAGTACCTGTGTTCTTTAGAGTTTGTAATGCTGTTATACTCATTCGAGGTCTTGGTTTTGGTATGTTACTTTTGAGAGTCGTAGGTTTCATCTGAAGTGTTTTCGAAGAACTTCTATTGCTTTTGAAAGCAAGTTTGCATGGTCTCAACTTTTACAAGTGAATTACTTCTTGGGATACCTTACTTTTCTTCAAGTAACTTGTTTGGGGTTAGCCATTTGCTTAGAGTGACTAGTTGTGAGAACAGTATGATTTTTATTTTATGTTGCTGAAAAATCCTAGAGAAGTAAGTCGTGTGGGAAAAGGACCGATACTATGTAACCCTTATGATTCCCCAAACCTTTAAGAATTTGATTCATGTAGATGTAACTTTGGAAAATGGATTTATTGTGAACTTGGTGGTATTTATCTGGAAATAGACATAACTACTATGTTTTCCTGGAAATTACAAGTGCTCATTTGTTTGTACTTTTTGTTTCTATTAATAGTTTTCCCAACTAGCTAATTATCCGTCGTGTATAGGTTTTCAAGACTAGAATTAGCTAGTCATATGATGATAGGGGATTCCATTATGCGTTTCTAATGTTGCTTTTATCGTCTTGAATGTTAAAGGAACACAACAATGATATTTCACTTCAAGGTTTTAAAAATCGGGATCCTATCTTGGATCGATTGGGGAGGGTAAAGATTGGGATCATGGGATCAGATCGAGAATCATAAGTCACTATCAACTAAGAAAATGAGATGAAAAACACATGTAGCATCACAAGGTTCTCAAAAACAAAAATTAAACAAATCCTAGTATATATGAAAATAGGGATATTATGATAAAAATAGAACTTAAGATTGAAATTTGATAAAGTACACTTTGAGTATTAAAGAGGGTTTAAAATCAAAGATGCACTATTGATCTTGTGAGATTTTGCAAAGAGGAATAGAAGAATTGAAGTATTTTAATCTTAACCTTTATGAAAAGAGATATAGAGGAGAGATTGGAAAGTTGACCAAGCAAAAAAGTAGAAAAGAATAAAAATAGAAGACTCCAGGCTATAATTACTAAAAGAAGATTAAATCTAACTTTTGCTTTCAATTTTTCAACACGAGGGATAAATGAATAAAGAAACTTTTTCGTAAACGAAACAAAATTTATGTAGCTTTTCTCATCCATTGAAATTCTCCACTGGACTCACAATTGTATAAGACATTCACATTTGAATTGAGTCCTTAACTATTAAAATGAAAAATATGGATTGGATTGCTCAGTAACTAAATGTGCCTAACAAATAAATTCAACAATTTGGATCAGTAAAATCGCAGTTCAGATCAAGATCTTAGGATCTATTAAGATCCTACGAATTTGAGATTTTACAAGAGACTCGGATCAATTTGCTTATATCGAATCATAGGAACATAAAATCCTAGGATCCAGATCGGGATTTTGATAACCATGTTTCACTATTCCTGTGTTAGTATTGATGATTATATGCAAGGAGGCCACCCAGTTATCCTAGGCCAAGGGAGTTCTGATGATTTCTTCGAGCGATCGTGCAAGAGTTTTTCTATTTTCATTTGAGATATTATGTGCAATTAAGAAACATACTACGAAATCTATTGAGTTAAAGTAAAGTCAAGGTGTTAGTTAATCGTTGTTTATTCCAAAATAGAAATGATTTTCCATTTTTTCCCTAAAATAATGGACTTTCAAAATGACACAATTCTTATTACAATACAATTTGAAAAAGAGTTGTCATATCTCGGTAATAGGGTTTAATGATTCGAAATCAAGTTCTATAGGATTTGAACTTACGACATTAGGTTTTGGAGACCCATATTCTACCAAACTAAACTAAGAGCGCGTTCTTTCTATATCATAGTAGATGTGATTATAAAAGAAGGATTTTTTTGTACCCCCAATACATCTTGCATGTGTATAGTCTCATAAAATGAAAAATTTTACGGGTGCCCAATTGGAATCGATCTCAATGGATCCCTTTTTACTGCTAGTGTTTGATACCACAATGCATTGATAGGTAAGGAACAGTTCCTTTCTATCTAAAGAAGATAAAATGTTGTAGGTGTAAATGTTACCCAGTAAGATGAAGCAATTAACATTTTATAGGGTTATGAGTTGAGGTCGAGCAAGGTAATGTGAGCTTGGCTTGACCTATGGCAATCTTAGTGGAGGGCCTGGAGGCTGAAGTCTGTCAAATACTTGAAATTTAGTGTAGAAATTTGGGATGGGCTATTTCTCGTCTGCAAACTGATTCTCTTCTTCTTTCTAGGAAAGGAAACTTATTGTGAAATTTGGCATGCTGTTTGCTTATGGGCCCTTTTCAAGATCTTCTTAATATATATTCTGTATAAAACCTATGCTTAAAAAGAACATGTCCTTTCTTGTCTATCAGTTGTGATGGTGCATGGTATACTAGGTTAACCTCATTACTACATGTACACTGTTAACTTCCACTCTGTTATCACTTAGACGGAGACAGATTTGTCAGCCAACTGTTTGTGCTTTTTTAAGTAATTGTTTTGGGATATCCGCTTGACTTGTGAGAAATATGAGTCCTAAAAGATCTTGATTCTAAGTCACGGATTTTAATTTTACACGCTTTGAAATTTATCAGCTGTATGATATTGAGATAAAATGTGTGTTTACAGCAAAGTACATGTTCCATATTCTGTTTGTTTCTTTTATACAAAATTGTGTTCTCTTTATTGGTGATGTGCTACTGTAACAGGCTTTGCAGTATTTGTTTATTCATTTTTACAGTCGATCCCTCCTATTACTCGAATGGCACTTGGACACAACACTTGGGTAACTGTTTTATGCAGAAAGTTGAGAGATTGGTGGCATTGGGTAACCTAATTCCTCCTCCTTGAAACTGAGTGGATATTGGAGTTGAATAGATACCATACTTCTAGTACTAACCACTGAATTTTCACTTGGTTGTTCGGTACTCTATTTCAGGTTGCAAATGGGGAACTACCCATAGTCGCATCCCATGGGTAATCAATTATTTTTGACTTTCCTGGGAAAAAATATTTATTCTTGTGACTTTCAAGTATACATAAATTCTTTGTGTTTATGGGTTTTTTTTAATTTATTTATTAGGGCTGAGGTTGAAGCATATAATGCACTTGATCCTGGGGTTCGGGTGATGATCTTAAAAGCGTTATGTGATATCCGTGTTGAGGTATCAAGTTTCTGAAATTTTTTAATATCAAAATTTTTTGCTGCCTGACCTGTTTCCTTGCCATCATAATATGTTGATTTCACTCCAGATATCTAAAGTCCCTGCTTATAGAGGCTATTTTGAGTTTGGATTCAGTGTTATGATATGCTGATGTATGGGTTTACAGCATGGATAATGATCTTTCCGGCACAAGCTGGGGCGTGTCATTTACTTCTTTGATCTAGTGCTGAAGCATTATCTTCCAGTGTAATTTTGTCACAAAACATTTTTTCATGTATTTTTTTACATAATTTTTTTCCAAATACTCTTTACTAGGAACACCAAGCCATTTGTTTTTTCCCCTTGAGTGGGTAGATTGTTCATTTTAACACCAGAATTAAAAACACATGTATTGCACGAGATCCTAACACATGACCCTGATTGTATGCCATTAGGAGCACATTATTGGTGTTTCTTAGGTTTTGCCCTGATAAAAGAAAAGAACAGAAACCATGAAAATGTGTTAGTTAAGGAGGCGGTAATGAAATTCGAGTTTCTTTCTAAACCACGAAAAGTATAGCGTTGGACAAAATGTCAAGATTAGCACTTTAGAAAGAAAAAAATACCGGAAGGTGTGATATTAGTTAGTTCTGAAAGTTCCAGTTGATTTTTTCTTTTCCTTTTTGTTTTCAATTCCACATAATGAAGCTTTAATTATGGTTCTATTTTGCAGCAAGAAGATATTCGGAACTATATAGACAACTCAATAAAACACGGTGTTCATCTTTCAGCATTTCGAAAAGAACGTATTGGGGGTGATTCTCATGGAATATCTTATTGGTAATTTGCTTGTATGGCATCGTAAATTACATATAGGTTTTTTAGGTTGCATATCTGGGTGGTCTATGTCTTTTTGATTCATGTGGATATTTTCCTTCACATGATAAGCATTGTATTTATATTTGTGGTTATTCTTACTATTGTTGGCATTGTTCTATTCTGCACATTAATTATGTTCATTTTTGTGTAGGTATGAAGATGATCCTATCATTGGTCATCGGTTGTACCGAGAGATTAGAAAAGTGGAGGTTAAGAAAGGAAAGGGAAAAAATGTACATCGTATTCCTAATTCATCTTACCAGTGGGAAACCGCTGCAACAAGTTTGGATGAATTTCAAGATGTTTCTGTAAGTCAATGTTATGTGCATTCATACCTCCATGTTTTAATGTTCTAAAATTAAATGCTAAATGCTTCCTCTCTTTTATTTACAATCTTTTGCTAAGGTTGAAAGGGAACACATCTTGAACTATATATGCATCAATTATTATCCAAAACTTAGAAGTAAAAAACAGGAGAAAGGAACCTGATTCTTCTTACATTTGGTGTTTGTTTTCCACAACAAACATCGAGAAAACAACGTTTAGATAAATTCCTGAATTAATTCAAGAGAAGAAACAATCTTAATTGGTATTGAACACTAAACTCATGTTGTATTCCAACCTTTCCTGTTTTCCTCCTTGTTGAGTTTAAAATTAGAATGAAGATTTAGGCAAAGTTTTTTGGGGTTGAAGATGGAGAGCCATACATTATCTGCCTTCTGTGTGTATGCGTACTTCTCTAATCTAATGTTGAGGATCTTCATTGACGCAATTGAGTTTTGGTATGTGGTCTTATATGAATTGAAACAAAGCCTGTCTATGATTCTCATTAATTTCAGAAACAGAAATGTTCGGTGAGATAAATAAAAATAGCCTCATTTTTTTCTTTATTTTTCACTCTGGGGGGCTGCGAATGTGTTTTCTTTTTCTTTTTTCTTTTTTTTTGGGGGGGGGGGGGGGGAGATTAGTGGGATTCAGTCTGAGTTAGGTGGTTATTTCCCTGACGTATGCTAACATGGATCGTGAATATTTTGTTTATTTAATGAATAAATCTCTTTGGGTTTATCTGGTATAATAACTTGATCGAATGTCCTCTCCTTGGAATGTGAGATGAATTGTCCTTTGGTGAAAGCAGCATGGTTGGCCAACAAGTTTATTTGGTTTTCCACCTCTTTTGTCTATTTGTAAATTCTTAGCTCTATACCAAAATTACAGAGGGAAGAAAATAGGAGCTTTCAAGTGATTTCTGTTGTGGGCTCCTTTGACAAGTGTCCAGCTGTGGATTGAAGCAAAATAAGCTGTGATGTAGTCTCATAGTTTGGAGTGTTAGAACATCCAACTCAAAGTTAATTGTCAATAGGTCGAGTGACCTTGCAAGTATATAAACCAACTTTGAGTGGTCCAAACCATTCAAGGGGTATATATACTTGATTTACATCTTCCATCACGTTGGACCCAGGTTCTTAAGTTGTAGGAGAGAGTGTGAGCTTGGTAGATAATTGGGCAATAACAGCCTCTTATAAGACGATTGAGTGACATCCACAAAGTAGTGTGGATTGCATAATTGAAGGACTATAGGCAGGTAATACTACAGTCAGGTTAACTTCTTTATTCAAGAAAAAAAAAATATAAGGTGGGAATTAGAATTCAAAATGAGATACTGGGAGTATGTTTGCAACCTTTTCAGGTTCAGGAATTATGTGATTACAGTTTTTTTTCGGGGCTCTTTATCTGTTGGTGATGTTTCCATTTCCTGTCCTCCCTTGGAGTGGGGGCTAAAGGATTGAAAGGTGGATTTCTAGGTAGTGTCCTGGCAATGCCATCTCTGTGAGTTTCATTTTAATGGTGGATTTGGAGTTAATGGATTCTGGGTTCAAATGCTATTAGACTTCAGTGGGAAGACAAATGGGAGAGTAGATATATTATAATACAAAATTATTTTTTTGTTGATTATTTTTTTATGTATAAGACTTTGTTAGAATGCCCCAGAGGGGGCACAATGCGAACTCTTTGGTGACCTGAATTCTTTTATTAAAATGCTTGTGCAACAGGAATGCAACTTCGAACACCTTGTCCCCAATCCACCCATCTAACGCTCCTTAATTCATTTGTGCGTCTTGTTGAATTTCAAAGCTCAGTTATTTAATCTAAATCCAGCTATGCAATATCATCTATGTGTGAGTGTGTGCTAACATGGTTTGTTGTATTGTTTTTTTCCCCTTTGTGGGGATCCAAACAACCATTAATTCTTCTCTCACATGTAAATGTAATACCCCTGCAATGATTCTGTGCTCATTTTTTGTGGATGTCTACAGTTTTTAAATTCCTTGTGGTAACTCCTCCTTAAGTTTGAATTTGCTTCTAATAAGATTAGTAGTTGTGGGAAAATGAGATTATTTGTTGCTTTGGCTTATAGGGGAAAATTTAAACTCACATATATCCAGGCACCATTATGCATTTATAGATTATGGTCGTATGCTTGCTGTTGTTGCTAATAGAGTAATTTAGCGACCTTGTTGAAGTATATGAGCAGTGAACAAATGTTTTAAGAGCTGGTGGAATGTGATGGATGAATTGTCCGAAGAAAAAGTTATACCAAGTAAAGTGCTTAGTTATCCAAAAATAATGTCTTTTTTCTTAGGCTTCCTTGGAAGCACTTTATGTGTTTGATAGAATGTGGTTTCTCTCAAAATATATTTTTGGTACATTGACTCGACTCCGTAATTAACCACATTGGCCATTGATGCATAAGCTAACAACTCTGGTATATTATTGCGGTTTCTTTATGAGTAGCGTGCCAACATCGTCCTGCTTTTTATGTTTGGCTTGTGGATGGCAGTAATTATGCTGGTTTAGTTCCTGCTCTTTCTTTATTCTCATGGTCCTTCTAATAGAAAATTATTTTTGTTTCCTAATGACATTTACCCCTTTCTCCAGATGAAATAGAAAAAAATTGGTCCTTGTTGGTTAATTCAACAAGTACAAACCTTAAGCATTTGGGATTCAGCTTTAATGATGTAATTATTATCTGTTGAGTTTTGAGATTGTAGTGTGATACTCTGCAACCTATTAATTCTTTTTTTCAAGTGATGCCAAATATCTGGGGGTGAGCTAATGTATCGGAAACGTTTTGTATTCAAATGATACTGACTACTTTGGGTGCTATGGCATTAAGACCCCATTACTCGGGGGACCTGCACTAGCTAACTTTGTTTAATTGAATTTCGAGTTTGTTGCTTAACATTTGAAGATGTGCATTTTTTCCATTTTCTCTCCTCGCCATCTCTTTCGAACGTGCCCATCTTTTGTTCACAGGAGAAGTTATTTTCAAGTAAAAATAGAACAGAGTCTTCACTTGGGAAGAAGTTGAAAATTGACATGCTTCCTGAGGTTGAGAAGGTCCAGAAGGTACTCTATTATTTCTTGACTAAACACTTGCAATCATTCCAGTTTTCATGACTTGAGCTTTGGTGATTTAGACATTTTCTGTCAACTGTCGCATCTTCCATTATCTTAGACAGGAAATTCCTTTTTGATATGTATAGGTGTACATGAAGATTTGTTTATTTTGGTGTTACTGATGCAACAGTTTGTGCTATTGTTGTATGCACAGAGGAAAGAGAGGCTGCTGAAAAAACAACATAGACAGGCTCTCCTTCTCGATGGAATGATGATGAGTGCAGATGGACTTGCTGCTGGGCGCTCCCTTCGTGATAGAAAACCGGTCACCTATACTTTTGGTACGAACAACAAAATTTGCTCATCTGTCTCATTGCTTTTGGTAAATATCCTTGATTTATTGTCTGTGCTTATTTTAAAGGCTGATAATCATCTTCTTGTTCTGTTTAAGTTATGAATAATTAAACTGAGAGGATGTTTGTCATCCTCAACTTGCATTCTCTATCTTATGTTCTTCTCACAAAGATTGTCAGGGAGACTGTTGCATAGGCTTCTTCGGTATTAGTGAAAAGTGAAAACAGAGCTTTTCTTTTTTAAATTGTTTTGAAGGAGATTTTGGGCCCTTCTGGGAGATCTGCTGGTTTTTGTTAAACCCGGTTACTGTATATTTTATCACGCTCTCTGTTTTGTGTATTTACACTTTGGAAATTCACTCTCTTGTTTCTTTGAACCTCTATGCAATAAAGGCAGCCTAATGCATGAAGCTCCAACCATTGTTGGGTTTTGGAGGGGTCAAACATACAACCGTACAAATCTAACATAACAGGTCAGAGGAGACTAGTTGTCGATACAAACCTGAAAATGACACGACCCCTGACACAAATAAGAAACAGGATGGGTTATTGTCGATACACACCCGAAAATGACAGCCCCTACGACAAATAAGAAACAGGATGGATTATTGCCAAACACGAATAATACGATTTCAACCCAACAAACCATTCAAGTGGTATTATATAACTTATATTTCTATATCATTTCTTGATCTAACAGATAAATTATTGTAGAATTAAAGGATTTTTTTACTTCTGTTTTGCTAGCATAAAGGTCCAATGATTTCTAGTTTATAGGCTGCACATGGCAGTATGTCTGTTTGAGAGAAAAGGGGTTTTAGTGTTGGATTTCTGGTTCACGTGTTACATTTTTTAAATGGACACGGCATGATTAACAAATAGGTCATGTTAGTGCTTGGATATCTGAAACGATTTGTTAGATTTGATAAATAGGTCACAAAAATGCTATTTTCGTGACTCAACAAACCATGGCATCTAGGTAACAATGAAGAAACCATTGTACCAATTCAATTGTAGATAATTCTTGATCAGCTCATTGTTGAATAATGATGCATTACAAAGTTATTTCACAGCAGATATTATGGTGAGAGTGTGTCTAGTTTAGTGTTGGCTTATCAATAATTTATTCCAGTGTTGCATGATATATGTCGTGATAAAAATGATAAATGTATTCGCAAATTCTACAGTAGTAGTGATAAAAGTGCAGGGCTCGAACTCACCCACAAAACAGAAAGTAAGAAAAGATACATAACTTAGAACGAATTAAAAGCCATATAGTTTATATATCTTTCTATGGAATGGTAAAAAAAAATTAGTTGTAATGTTCTAAGCCTTGTTGGAAATTGCATTGTGTGCCTTTAATTTGTGTTTTGGGCAAGGGGCATTAGAATCTTACTTTGTCGTAGTGGAGGGTGATGTTTTTACTGCAAGTGTGATTTTATCTGATTGCTCATGCGACCTCGAGTTTTTGGATGTCTAACTGTTATATTGGACGATTTGCAGATGACTATGACCGATCAATCAATGAGGCTATCAAGATAACCAAGTACGGGTTTTACTCCTCCCAGACATTTATATGATACTTCTCATAGGCGTATGCAAACATTTTTCTAGATGAAATATTTCAGTTGTTCTCAAATTTTGTTTTGTGACAATTGCAAATATGGTCTTCACATATTTATCTTTTTCTTTTACTCTCACGTCAGAAAGAAACAGTTGTCGCCGGAACCTACTGATGGAAGAGACGGTGCTGTGAAGCCTGATGCATCTACAAATGGTAGATGGGGTGGTCCTTCACAAACTCCTCATGTCTCTTCTAATGCACCATCTCCGAGATCACCTGATTACAATGAAAGTGATGAGGATGATAAACCTGAATCATTGGATCGCAGGTCCTCCCTGCTTCTGTGTCTCTAATTTATTTTAGCGCCCCAAGATTCATCCACAAACTAACCAATAACTTAATCTTATGACAGCAATCGACGAAGGCAGAGGCCTCAACGGTATTCTGGGAAAGAGTTTGTTGAAGCAGTTTCAGATAATGATGCAGATTTTGATAGTGATGATGATATAGTTGGGGAGGTGGTATATGATGAAGAATATTTGAGGAGTCGCGAAAAAAGGAGGAAGATGTCAAGCAGCTCTGAAGGTGATGAAGAGTATCATGGTGATGAAGAAAATGTTGAAGACGAAGAAGAAGAAGAAGAAGAAGAAGATGATTCCTTAAGTACAAGCGAGGACAGTGATGAGCCCCAAAGATTTAAGAAATTACCTGGCCGCACTAGGAGGGAGACGAAACTAAGGTCAGTTGACGAGCTCCAGTCAGGTCTAAGACGTAGTAAAAGGGCAACTAGAAACCGCATCAATTATAGACAGTATGAGTTCTCGGCATCAGAGACTGAGTCAGTGAAACCCGAGAAGTCAAAGGCATCAGATGGGCACACGGATGCAAGTGATAGTGAAGACTTTTCAAGGGGAAGTCAAGACTCCAAGGCCAACAATGATAACCAGGAGGTGAAAGTTGATCAACCTGTTGAACAGCACCCTGTGATAGTAGAGAGAGAGCAAAACCCACAGCCAGAGAAATTAAATAGCCCAGACCTAGATGAAGTTGAAGGTGTACGGAAAAGGCGTTTCCTTGATCTAAATGAGCTCGCCCCTGGTTCTGGCTTTGATGATGGGCCTAACTCAATTATGAAAGATGAAGATAGAGATGACTTCTAAGCATTCCCCTCTGCCATAAAGCAAGGGTTGTATTTTCTATTGGGAAGCTATTGTACCATATATTACATATAAATTTTGCAACAAATCCACTCCACGACGGAAGTTTAGAGAGCTCTTCCTTGACGGAATCACTTCATGCAGTTTATTGATGCTTAGAGAATGATGTAGATTGAGTAGTCATTTTTTAGTATTCCTACATTCAACAGAACCAACGGTGAATCAATGAGGAATTGCTCGAGAGTAATTTAGTCTTCTCTCATTCTATCAGTGTACAATACCTTTTAACTGATTGTAACCAAAAGATTTCACTCTTGACTGTTCGGAATCAGGACCCATTATTTTCTCCTCTATGGTGATTGGCTATGGTTTGCCTATGAGCTAGTGAGTTGGATGGGTCTGTGATAACATAATCAAGTTTATAAAGTGATTTCCTTGTTGTAATGGAATTATCATTAAGAAGTTGCAATTTTTTATAAGTCTTCTCTCTTTGTTCAGAAGGTAATTGTGTAATGTTGAAGTTGCCTGGATAAACTTGCATATGGCACTGCTTAAGTTTCAGTCTATAGTTTGATAAATGTAATACAATTAGTTAGAAATAGATATGAGACCTCAAGAGATGAATAAACCTGACAAATGTCAGCTGAAAACTCTTCAAATGTTGTTTATTTTGTCGCAACTATTTTAGATTGGTTTATCAGATTCTTGCTTATCTTTCCGTTGGGCGTCTTCATTTGCCTGTTCAATGTCATCTGATTCCTCTTCACCTTTTTTCTTAGCTGCTGCTTCCTTTGCTTCCTGAAGAGCTCTAATCAGATTGGACAGACATTTCTCTGCTTCTTCTCTCGGAGATTTGCGCATGAGGTTCTCCGCAACATCAGCTGGCGTGATCTTGGTCTCCTCTATCAACCGATGAATTGATTGGAACATTGGATGTGCTTCTAGTTCAAGGTAATTTTTTGCTAGCACCTTAAATCCCTCGAAACTGCAGTAAGAGAGTTCGACATGCTTGTCCATCCTTCCCCTTCTTGTGAGAGCTGGGTCCAGCTTCTCTACATAGTTAGTTGTGAAGACAATAATTTTCTCTCCTCCACAAGCAGACCAGAGCCCATCAATGAAATTCAGCAATCCAGAGAGAGTAACTTTGCTGCCACTCTCTTCCTTCTTTTCTTTGTGAGGAGTTTCTGTTTTCCCTTTTATGCTCTCATCTTCTGGAGATTTCTCTTGTTTCTTCCTCTGACCTGTAAGATCAAGTGAGCAGTCAATATCCTCAATCACAATGATCGATTTACTCGTAGTCTCGATCAAAAGCCTCTTCAGTTCCGTGTTGTCCCTCACGGATGTCAGCTCAAGATCATAAACATCATAATCCAATAAATTTGCCATTGCAGCAATCATGGTGGATTTCCCAGTGCCTGGTGGGCCATAAAGGAGATATCCTCGTTTCCATGCCTTGCCAATCCTTGCATACATATCTTTACTCTGTGTAAAGGCCAAAAGATCTTCAATAACATCCTGCTTCTTCTCCGACTCCATTGCTAGCGTATCAAACGTCGCTGGATGCTTGAACACTATATGGCTCCACATCGAGTGTTTCTGGCTGTTCGTGTAGAGCTTCCTTCGCCTGCTTCTTCCCCTAATTTCCTTCCCTATCTGCATCACATGCTCCAAGTAAGACTCAGTCACCGTCTCCCTATGTTTCTTGTGGAAGGTGAGCCTGTAATATCTTTTCTCTGGCTCTGGATGATACATCGACATCGGCCGTGCTGATGATCCGACTTTTCCCGAAACCCACCAGACCTTAACTCCTCGGAATTCATCGGTCACTTTCTCATGGTCATCGATGCTCAACACCAGCTTGCTGCTGCCTTTCACCATCTCAGCTTTCAATTTCTTGGCACTTTTCGAAGAATTAACGCTAAGGTACGCCTCAACTCTTCCGTAGGCTTTATGTGGCTTAAGATTGCTTCCGGTGAACTCGTGGATGGAAATTTGAATGTAAGGATTGAAGAAGGTCGTGAGCCTATTTGTCGATTTTTCCAAGTATCGCCGGAGTTCAGGGGGACAATATCTCTGGATGATTGCCCAAACAAACATGAAACTAGCCATGGTTGAACCCAGTGAAGCCCACATCTCCACCATGGTCATTGATCTCATCTTCATTGTCTTGTTTGATTCTCTCTCTCTCTCTCTCTCTGTTCTATGTTTTTCTTCAGGGAAATGCAATGCTTTCTTTCAACTCTAAGATATATAGAACCATTCTATATAAAGGGTAAAAGAGTAGATAGAGAAAAAGAAAAGAGTATACGTTTATAAGGATATTGTTATCGTATCTAAAACAAAAATGTGTCATTTTCGGTGTCATTCCGAAAATAATTCTTAGTCATAAATCTTATGTTATTCATTTATAAAAAAAAAAAAAAAATTATGTTATTCATGCCGTCATTGATTGATTGTGAATTAAAGTAAATAGTAAATTAGATTTTTTTTACATTTTTATCGAATGAAAAGAGAAAATACAATACCTAAAATTGTCGTAGTTGGACTACTCTGACAGAGCCATATGAGCTCCATTTTCTCAGAAGTTTCCTTCCATTGGATGAACCACGTAGACTAAGACGCAGCAGTGACGTACGGAAGAAAAAAGGGCAAATCGTCATGCATGATGACAAAGCTTTGGACGGCTAGTGGGGTCCGTCTCTCTCTCTCTCACGTAGGATAAAGTCTGTGTTGTACAGTCAGTCTCATTTCAATTTTATTATATTATGTTTTGATTCATGTTCAGACCCGCAGTCCTCTGTGATTTAGAAATGACAAGGAATTTATATTTTAAAAAGGAAAAGCGATGGTGGCATAATGGAATATAGTGGAACTAATGTCCATTAGGGTTAATGTTTATACTTTTAGTATGCATCATATTGGTGTTAATATTTGTGTCAATAAAAAAATATTTAATTTTATAACTCATAATTTTAAAAAAAATATAAAAAATTCTTATTTTCTATATGTAATACTCATTAAATATTTTTTTATTTTTATACTCGTTAATCATGTTATTTGTGTCTAACCTAAAATTGATTCATTTATTATTATTTGTACATTTTTGAGTTTGTGTCGAGTAAAATTCGTTCTACTAGGTATCGACACCCTGCCTATTATGAAGGTAGATCGACATCTTTTGAACAAAACCATATGTAAAGCCTTCAATCATGTTTTGTAGAAATTATGAAAGCAAGGTTTTTGTATCTTTCTTTAATAATGATTAAGTTCGAATTCTCAAACCATGAAATCCAAAAGCACTTGTTCTTAACCCTTTAGGCTAAAACCCATTTGGTTATTTCATGAATAAAATTTACTTTAATATTAAATGTTTTTCAAAAATAGGTGATTTATTGTATATTAATGAAAATCTGTTTAAGTATAATGGTTCCTACTTAGTTTCATGATAAATAACCAAATATCAAAGAATTCGAGATAAACAATGTTATATGGATTTAAAAATTACATTTGATAATTTTAACTATTGATTTTATTATGAGTTTCAGTATTTATTGAACTCACTATCTCTTTAATAATTAAGATTATTAATTTTATTTTTTAAATTCATCTAGTATTACCCATTCGAGAGAAAGTTTAATCTTAAAGAGATTTAAAATCCGAAAAACAAAAGAAAAAAAAAAGCAACAAGTGTTATTGTCTTTTTCGTGTACGAATCAGCGGTACAGCTTTGTCAACTTTCCTGCCACTTTTTCCTAGACTGAACTTTCCTGCACACTTTTTCCTAGAATGAGTGCTACCTAAATTTCATTTCTGCTCCTTTTTCTCGCGGTACAATTCATCTCGATCAATGTTGTCAAAATCGGACTGAATTAATTGATTAGATTGATTTAACCGTGAATCGAGTCTCTAGCCAATTCAATTCTTTAGTTGAACCACTTAAAAAAATGAATCAGTTAAAAATCAAAAAATTAGCTAATTTTTAACAAAAATTGATTTTTAAAAATTAAATTATATAAATAAATTTTTTTATCCTAAATCAGTAAATAGTTAATTTTTTTTTAACCTTATTCTTAAAAAAATTATAAATAACATCCCTTCTTTTTCTTTATAATTTACTTGAACCTCTTTACTTTACTTTAAAATACAATAACCCCCACTTTGTTACTTAATTTTATTAATTTTAGTGTTAATCTTATTTTGCACCCTAAAAGATTGTTCAAATCTTAATTTATACCTCTAAAGATCAAAAATCTCAATTTTCACCTTCAAAGATAGAAATTTGTATCAATGTGCATCCTCAAAGATAAAAAATCTCAATTTACACCCTCAAAGATAGAAATTTGTATCAATGTGCACTTAAAATTAAATTGATAAATTATACCTAGATCCCCTCATGTTTGTCACTTAATCATTTGAACTCTTTCACATTTAGAATATTCCCCTTACATCTCATGACGTTTGTGCATGTGTAACACATAACCACTTTTCGTTGATATCTGTTAATATAATCGTTAAAAAATATGATTTTATCCTAATAAAAAATTATAATTTCATATTACCTTTTATTTTGTGGATTCGATATACTCTAAAGTTGAAAATCAAGCTTACCATTTGAATGTCTAATAAAATATAGATATTTATATAAAAGGTAATATGAAAAACATTATATAAATATTTACATTTTATTAGACATTCAAATGGTAAACTAGATTTTGAACTTTAGAATATATTGAACCCATAAAATAAAGGGTAATATAAAATTATAATTTTTTATTAGGATAAAATTATATTTTTTAACGGTTATATTAATAGATATCAATAAAAATGAGTTACATGTTATACGTGCACAAATGTCATAAGATACAGGAGTAATATTCTAAATGTGAAGAGATCTAAATGATTAAGTGACAAGTATGAGGGGATCTAGGTATAATTTATCAATTTAGTTTTAGGTGCACATTGATACAAATTTCTATCTTTGAGGGTACAAATTGAGATTTTTTATCTTTGGGGTGCGCATTGATATAAATTTCTATCTTTGAGGGTGCAAATTGAGATTTTTGATTTTTGGGGGTGCACATTGATACAAATATCTATCTTTGAGAGTGTAAATTGAGATTTTTGATCTTTGAGGGTGCAAATTGAGATTCGAACAATCTTTCAGGGTGCAAAATGAGATTAACCCTTAATTTTATGGCAAATTTTATGTATTTTATACATATTTTATATTTTTTAGCTAAATTATTAAATTTTATAATTATTATATATATATTTTTATTTTTTTATTGTATGACCGGTCCGACCAGTTGACCTAACGGTTGAACCAATGAACCATTGCTCCGGTCCCCTTGCCGGTTCGATGACCGATCCGATTCTGATAAAACCTATTCACCTGTCGGCATGGCACAGTATCGAAAAATATTTCTTGGTCTGGTGGTGAAAAATAAATTTTGATGAAACAACAAAATAAAAAAAAAATTTATAAAGTCATGCTTGCATTAGACCCAAAAAAAGGATATACAGGAACAAAAAGTTACTTTCAATGCAGTAGTGTTACCCCCTCACTAGCTAGCCAGTTAGTAAACTTTTTTTTCTTTTTCTTTTTTTTAGCCAGTCTCGTTTCTCCACTATAATGACCAGGATTTGCAGCCATTCTGAAAAATTTCTACTTTTATCTGGTAGTTTACAATGAATGCAACCACAAAGCAGACAGTAACATAAATCATTGGTACGTCACTATCCACACACACAATCACCTTTTGTAGTTCAGAGAGAGAGAGAGAGAGAGAGAGAACATTGATGAGAAACTAATGATGATTCATTCCCATCTGTTGTGATTCCATTGTAGTTTACAGAACTAGGATGTGTATGGAGGTGTTCACTGCACAGGTAACCCACTTCATCCTTTTCCATCCTCAAGACAAAGCAGGAAAAGAAAAAGATAAAATAATGAATGAATTTCAAGGGCCCTAAACAGCCCCACTATATCTAATCCAACCTTCCACAGTATACAAAATGGTTGGGGGGGGGGGGGGGGCGGTATAGAAGGAAGAAGGTGGCCTCATTATCCACACATCTGATCGGATGAATGGAGTCCCGACGGACCGGAATTTTAACGAGTGCCATGACTGCAAAACATGTTTGCCCCCGTTACTCATTACTTGAATTCTCCCATGTTTTTACCAAACAAAAATTGTCATCTCATGTTGCAGCATTGAGGCCTTCCTAGCTCTTTCAATTTGTTCCACAAGCATATCATCTGCCTCGGAGACTGATAGTGTGCTGTAAAATAATCTTCGATGCACCCGAACTGACAAAACTTCAAACTGTGTACATACTCTACTGGTCTTGAGCTGTTGAACTGCTCCACCCACATTCCCATACTCACATCTTCCATCTTGAACAACTACACAACATAGAACTAGTAAATAATAACTGGCAAGAAACCCCACAATCACTTTCATCAAATGTTTCCATGAGTATTGGTGCTGCTCTGTATGTGTGGGTGTGTGTGTGTGTGTGTGAGAGAGAGAGAGAGAGTAAATGTTACCTACCCTTAATTTATGTTTCTCAAATTCAGATACAAGAAAGTATGCAATGTCTGATGACACAATGTAGCCTGGTCCATTTGCATAAGGTGGATAATCTTCTTCTGGCCATTCCTGAAGGAAGAAGTTGTGTTAAGACTTCCAAAATACATCATCATAGATGTTAGAATCCCTTATTATACATGTAAACATCCTTAAACCAGGGAATTACTTCTCTATGTGACCACCTGAGCGAACAATTCAATACCAGACAGATATCACATCAATTAACAATTGCATGCACCTGATTTCATAAAAGGCATGCAATCTCAAGAAACAATGGCAAAAAATCTAGTGACAGTGCAGTTAGGCATCAGATATATGACATCCAAAAACTATTCCCGTGTACATTGAAGCAAAGGGTAATGCTACACTGACAAAATTTTGGGACCAAATCAAGAGCCCAAATGACATGGCAGCTGACTTAGACTTTTTTATTTGGTGTCATGTCATTTGGGTCCCAATAAAAATTCCAAATAATATAATGCCATGTCATTTAGGTTCTTAATTTGGTCCCAAAATTAAGTCAACATAGCATTACTGTGAAGCAAAACCATGCCAAAGATCATCCTTGAATTTGTGATACCCATTGACATAAAATAGATGTGAAATTAAGAATGCAACTTAAATACACAAATATATGTGGCCAAGAAAGGGAACAATAACAAGATAGAAGGACAGGAAAGAAAATGGATTCAACTGTACCTCATATGTCACTGCCCATTTGCCATTGCGCAGGGGCTTATGGTAGTAGTTGATGTTCCCCACATACAAGCTCCTATCCTCAGCTACTTTCTTTGCTTCCTTAATAGTTGCATCCACTCTAACAAATGTGTCATCATCACACTTCATAATATACTTTGCAGATACCGTGCGGACCTGTAACCATACAGAGACATCAAACATGACTGATCTCTGGGTGTGAAAATAATATTAACTCCTTTGAACTTGACTCATCAATCTTAATGCGATGCTCACCCCATATTCACAGATGGCAACAGTTTTCAAAACAACAAGATCATAATTATCCATGTAAGGCACTATGACTATGTCACCAAAGAACTCTGCTTCTTTCTTTAACTCCACATTCACTTCCTTTCTTGGATGCTGTCAAAACATCAGTCCCACACTTTATTTGAATTTTCCAAACAAAAAATTTCCAAGAGGAAAAAAAGTTAAAAACCATTTTAATGCAGATACCACCAGTATTTTCACCTACCAAAGCTACAAAGAAACGAGCCACAACATTCGATGATTGGACAAGTTTATGCCGCATCCAAGACATTCTTACAGCCATCCGCTCAGCAAAATGGTTGCCGGCTGAAAGAATACCAATGAAGAGTTCGACAGGCCCATTTGGAAGCGGCGGTGCCTTCCATTCAGTTGACATATCAAGATGTCTTTGAGGAGAAAAATTAGGATGTGATGTAGGCAAGGAAGCAGCAAATATGGAATGGACATCAAGGTCTCCATTCAAAGATAATCCAGTGGCATCCTCAAGCGCAAATCCCTGTTAAAAATAAGGAACAAACTAAAGAACTCTCCACATCTGTCAACAAATAAAGATCGTGGGATTACTAACCGTGCGGTAAGGAAATGAGGTGACATGCCTCCCATCAACATAGATATGATAACCCTCTAAGCCAGCACTAAGAGTTAGGACAAATAGCTTTTCCTCTGCAAATGGGAATGGCCAATCAAAAGTGACCTTCTTTGTTCTGCCAATTAACCGGTTCAACCACCATGTCACTTTTGATGACTCAGAGTGATCATCATCATCTCGGATCCACTTCTCACATTTCACATGATCATCAACTGCACAAAAGTCCAGATAGCTAATTCAAGAGGGCAGTTCCACAGCAAGAATAGACAAGACAAAGTGCCATAACCAAAAACTATAACAATGGAAAATCCCAAAAACAACAAGAGAATAACTCACAAAAATTTTTTTTGTTCTATTCTTTTGCAGCCAATAAGGGCAGCAAGATACAGGAAAAGCAAGATAAATTTATACTGCAAATCATACAAAATATGACACCCAATTAGTTGTAACTTGCAAAACCTAGAATTCACCTGTTTTCACTTCCCTGATCTCAGAAGCCAGTTAGGATTGATAGATCACTCTGTCCTATGAAGTATGGATGCGAGATACGGGTGCGGTATGATATGGTGATACGATAAAATTTTAAAAAATAGGATACGGATACAACTACAATACGTCTATAATAAAATATATTTTATCTTTTTACTATTATATACTAATTTAATAATTATATATTTTGGTAATTCTTTAACATAATAAAGAAAACTAGCAATTTTTTTAATTTTAAAAAAGTAAATATCGTATCATTATCGTATATTCACAAAATGAAATGACTAACTAAAGGAATCAAAATTAATATTTACTTACTTGGTTTGTTTAGAAGTATTTGTTGCTAAGATTATAATGTAATGAATTCATTTTAGACTCTTTTATCACATGTAAGAGTAGTAGATAATACTTAAAAACCCTCATATCTCTTCAAAATAGTTTGATTTTTTGTTGATGTATTATATGATACGTGAATTCAAAAGATGTTAAAGATTAAATTAAAAATTATATATCTATTCTTTTGATACAAAAGTATCTACGACGTATCCGAATATTTTATTATTATCCAATACGTAGGAAGAGGATTCGATACTTATCCTCAAATATCGTATCTAACACAATATTCGATATGTATATGCCGACCTAAACGAAGTATCCGTGTTTCATAGACTCCATCACATAAATATTTTTCACTTCAGCTTACCATTCTAGAGAAGAGAAAGACCAGGGCAAGTTTTTCAGCCCATTGATTTTTAGTCCAGTTACATACACAAATCCTCAAAACCAGCAAGTTTGGTTAAACTGAGCTACAACCATGTGTTTTCCTTTGGTAAAGACCTTCTAATTATCTGTATAAATTTCATTTACCTACACGAAATTAAATCTACTGCACCAATTGTTAAGGCAGATAGTAACAAAAACAATCAAGAATGAAGCAAGTAATAATTCCCATATGGATATTATCAGGAAGTACTCAGCTCGATAATTCACTCACCATTTTCCTCATCAGCTTTAGATTTCCACCCTTCGCACCGATGCGCCAATCCCCACTGCATCCTATAGCAAGTGTTCTGCTCAATTACAGGCTTCCCACTCCAATCCCCTTTTAACCTAGGATTATAATGTAAAATCCTTGGTGGGTCTTCTCCATCCACAGTCTTCAACCCCTGCAATTCCATCATAAACTGTGAAACCATCGCTTGCTGACCTTCTTTCAACAAAGATATCTTGGGGTCCTGCTCCGGATGCGCCTTCTTCGGCTTCCCCACCACTGTTATATGTGATCCCAATGTCAACCCACATGGCAACACCATCATTCTATTTTTCTCCCAAAACTCAGTCCCTGACATTGAAATCGAATGTGGGCATGACTCAGTCCTATTCTCCACCTTCCTGTCGGAGTTTTGATCATCGGAACCCAGTTCAAGCTCCTCCCAAAGCTTCTTCCCCAGTTCAAAAGCCTCCTTTGCATGCTTCAGAATCCCTGAAAACCCATCTTTTCCAGTAATATTTACAATGCTTCCATCGACATCCAAACTAGATAGGATTTTATACTCCCTAATTCTTCTCTCGGGTCTGGATTTTGGTGATTGATTTGGAACCCTAAAGGGGTTCTTTAAGGGTCGAATTGGGGCTTCTTTTCTGGCCAATTCCTCTTCGCTTTCGAGCGCAAAAGGCTTAGACAATGGGTCATTGAAGCCGTCTGGAGTGACTGCACTGAACCCAGCTTTGAACACAAAGGGTACTTCTAAACTCACCAAGAGTATATACAAAAGACCCACACATATCAGAATTTGAATCGACCTTTTTCGACTCAGGGACACGAACAAATCCAACTTTGCTCTCTTCATCTCCTCAACAAAACCCTGAAAAAGCAAAAATTTAACCTCAACTCAACCCAACCCCTTATAATCATGAACAGATGTTTCTGGAGAGATACAGAGAGGAAGAATGGGTTTCTGACAAAATTTAAACTGAATTTTGCAAAACCCAACTCTTAACTAAGAAAGAGAGGTAGAGAAAAGTTAGGTAATCAACACAAAAAGATACAATGACACAGAATATATAGATATAGAGAGAGAAAAGTTGTGGTGGGGGAGGGAGGGGAGAAGAGGGAGAAACAGAGCTGGTGTTGAAGGCTTTCACGTCGGTTGCTTCGTTACTATTTGTTTTTCAATTGAATTCAAAATGCAAAAGACAATCTTCTAAACGGATTTGGAAAATCTGACCCAAACACAGAAAAAAATAAAAAGGATTTTGATAATAGAAAATAGAAAAATTGTAATTTGATCCCTTTCTGTTTCTAATATTTTTCACTGGCCCCTTACTGTATTTTGAAATCACACTGACTTCCACTATACATTGGAATAAGTTTTTCTAACAACTACCCTTGTCGAGGTGTATCAAGAACAAAAAACAACCTACATTTTTATTGGTTTAGAACTAATTGCATGAACTAGTGAAAAAATAATTTGAATTAATCGAAATACATTTTAGTTGATCCAAACACTCTTGACCGTTAAACCAAAAAAAGGAAAACAATTTGTCCCAATGCTGGTACAATTTTAAACCTCCATTGTTAAATTTTTCTAACCCATGAGCTCGGTGGGGTTAACTGCAAAAGAGAAGTCAAGAGGGAGTGTTCTTTTGAAATTTGACATATTTATCGGGATGTGTTTTGTAATTAATACACGAATGGATATTTTAGTGACAAATTTTATTAAAATTAATAAATGACGTCTTTTTTGTAACCTTCGTAAGTCTTGAGGAAGGACATAATCTGAGATATCCAAATCTACTATAATAATAATGATTTCTTTGAAATTCTTAATTCTAAATTCGATGTTATTACTCATTAATTAAAGTAAGACTCATTACATTCGAAAAGATTTCCCGACACATAAACTATGTCCTTGGGTGGGTTTAGCTACAAACATGAAGAAAAAAAAAAAAAAGCAAATAAGGGCATCCACTTCAAAATAATAAGGAGTGTTCTTTTTTGAAATTTATCATATTTATGAGGAGGTGTTTTTGTAATTTGACAAAAATAAGGGACCATAAATACAATTTTCTTAAATTAAAGAGAAGGTACCAAAGATGTGTTTGGCATAGTTTGTATACTTGTGAGAGCATGTAATAAAGGTTAACCCGTGAGTAGATTCCTTTTTTGGACTATTTGTTGGTTATGGGGATCTATTAGGACAACATATAACAATGTATTAATGTTGTTCAAGGCAATTGTGTGTGTTATTTATTCAATACATTATGATTTACAAAATCTACATAGAAAATTCCACCCTTTGTTTGATTTTTTTTGAGAGAATTCAGTTCAAAAAATACGGTTTGTTCTTCAATGGATCTGGATTTGTTTTGTTGGATATGGATCTGTCCTTTGTGTGTATAATTTCTCTCAATTGTGTATCATAAACTCGTGTGAGGCTAGGGCAGTAAGATGGTTCTATTGTTTTTTTTTTTTTTAAATTGTGTAGATCGTATCTTGTTTAGAAAATTTTACTTTCATGCCTAATTTACTTACTGTATTTTCTAATTTATGTCTTGTGAGGTTCATGTCATATACATGTATTGTTTAACCATATTGGAATGTCCAGCTCTACTCGTTTATGACTCGAATCCATTAAAATTATACTCATGCTTGTTAATTTCGTTTGTTGTGTCAAATTGGGTGATCGTATTAAGAATCGTAGATGTTAAATTGAGCTAATAGAAGTTGATTAGAGGAAATCTAATTGAGTTTTTCTTTCTTGTGGTACTTGTAATAAATAAGTAGGACCCACTATTATATGGTGGTATATTGGTAATCATCCAAAAACATTTAGAAAAAAAAAATTCTATTTGAATGATGTGAATCCAATTTCATAGAGTGGTTGACTTTGTTCATAACGTATTTAACACTGAGTAACTCCAACAATGCTATCTAAAATAGTTATTCAAAATATATTTAAATATTATACTTTCTATTTTAACTAACCATTTTTTCAAATTCACTCTAACAACGCTATCTATTTTAGTTAACCACTTCAACTAATTATAACTAACTATTAATTATTAAAATTTAAAATACTATGTCGTATGCCTCAAATGCAGATGATAGACAATCTACCAAAAACTTATACAAAAATAGAAATGAACTCATCAATAAAAAAAGCATGAACAACTCATAGAATCCAACAATTGAATGTCAAATTACTGCTAGATCAAAAACTCAATTCATCATGTACCCTAAAATTATTGGAATCCTTTAGATGGGTGGGCACTAAGGGATTAATAATTTGTTAAAAAGGAAATTCACATATTTTCTTGATAGCAAAATCAAAAACTCAATTCTTAAAACCACCAAGAATTGAAAATTCATAGGCTATGTTTGTCAAAGTTACGAATTGAGCTTGTATTTTTTTTTCCAGAAGCAAATCATCAAACACTTTGAAATCATACATATAAAAGGGATGGAGGCAACGGGGACAGTGGATGTGTCGTGTGTGGTGCTGGCTATGCATATATGCAGTGGGCGATGGATAGGATTGTTGATTTGGGTCTGAGTGGCTGTGGTTTGGTAGCAACTAGTAGACAAAGAGAGAATGAGAGAGAGATTGCATACCAAGATAGTGCTATGGTGGTGGCGTTGTGGCTCTGAAGGCTTGTGCCTTCGACTTTAAAGCAGCTCTGAAGGCTTCGACTTCGATCGATTGTCTAAGTGAAAGAAGATGCTCTGTCTCAAGGCTTTGAGTTTGATCGATTGATTTGGGATTTAGGTTTTGTGGCTTGATTTGGGATTTAGGTCTGGAGGCAACAGTAAAAGATTTCAGGGTGCTTGTGGTTTCACTGGCTTGTGTCTTCGAGTTAAATTGATGGAAAGTCGGAGAAAGGCGAGAGTCTTTGAGACTCGAAGAGGAGGAGGATGGAGCGAGGGAGAGACTGGCTAGCTAGATGGAGCAAGTAAAAAAGGGGTTATGGAAAATAAATACGGGAATAACTAGTTTGTTGGAGCCACATTTTAGAGAAAAGTTATCTAAAATAACTAAAAAAAGGGTTTTAGCTAGCCTTTTAGAATTCCTCTAAGGCCAGGCTTGTAATAACTACACATTTATATGAATAATGCTATGTTTGACTATTTATAAAAGCATTATGAATAATGCTATGTTTGACCATTTATAAAAGCACAACCTAAAAAACCCATCACAATATGGTAAAGATTATGTGCATGGTACTTATATTTATAGATATATTCACATGATCTGTTTGGCTATTTTCTAAATCATAATAGAAAATCCCATCATAATATGGTATGTGGTAATTATAAGTTTAATAGTAATACACTACGTTTTGGCTATTTACCCATCACAATATGGTACTTATTTATAAAAGCATAACCTAAAAAACCCATCACAATATGGTAAGATTATGTGCACGGTACTTATATTTATAGATATATTCACATGATCTGTTTGGCTATTTTCTAAATTATAATAGAAAATCCCATCATAATATGGTATGTGATAATTATAAGTTTATTAGTAATGCAATACATTTTGGCTATTTATAAATCAAATTATGTACATTATAATCATATATTTATGAGTATAAGACTTATTTGGCTATATTTTTAAATCATAAATGAAACCCTCAATAAACGGATTTGACTAAGGTACCGACAAAAAAAAATTCAGTACTATACCTCCAAAATTTATTATTTTAATGTGTCTCTTTTCAAAAATTTCTCACTTTTTATCACTATTGTGACAACTATTTTTCCCACTTTTCTTTGGTAGAAAAAAAAAAATTACCCTTTTTGTCAGTGTTTTTATTACTGTTGTGATAACTATTTTAATTATTTTTTTGGATAACATAACTGTATTAAAAATACCCACAAATATAATAAAAGTTAATATTATACCAAAATTTATTTTTTCGATACTGTAGACAACTCCTAATAAATAAGCTTTTAAAATCAGTTACCAAATCAGATACACAAGTATGGGGGGAATGTTCTGTTCAAGTCAATGCATAGCACTCAAAGATAAAAAAAGTCGATGCATAGCACATGATTTGTTAAGTGACCCAATCTTTAATGCTAAACTTTAATAGTAATGGTGTTGCTTATTTTATTTCTTGCATTTTAGGATGACACAACGAATGTCAAAAGTATTTTTTAGGGCACGTATTGAAGCTACTACCCAATAAAGAGTGTGGTTATAGCATACTATTTTTGAAGTTACACCAATATAAAATTGCACGCAACAAAGACAAATTATAAATGTTCCGTTTGATATGATGGAAAAATAAAAAGATGAAAAATTAAAATAATGGAAAGTTTGAGGGATAAATAAAATATCATGTTTGGTAAGGAAGAAAAATAGAAAAGATGGAAAAATGGATGTATTAATTTTCCTTCTAACTCACCAAAATTGGAAAGAAAATAAATGAAAAGTTAATAATTTATGTTAAGATGTATTTTATTTGTCTATATATCTTTTAATATATACATATATTATGTATACATTAATTTCATATAAAAATTTAATGATAAAACATGTATTTATATATATTTGTTAAAAAAATTTAATAATAAATTTAACAAAAATAATAATAAATTAAAATTTTTAAATTAAAAAAAAATATTTTTTTCCATATTAGCTAGGGGTGAAAATTTTCAACTAAACACGATAATATGACTCGAATTCGATACGAATTTTATGACACAAACTTGATTAAATTTTTTATTCAAAGTTTATGTGGGTCAACACGAATACGAACACGAACATAATACGAAAATAAACAAGTCAACTCGTAACTCGACACGACACAATTAGTTAAATGAGTTGAGTTATGTTTA